CTGCATCACCTCATTAGACAGCTCTGCCTCTTTAGAGAGCCAGGCTATAAAGATATACAAACAGCATGCATGGTTGGCCAGACGGACGCTGGAAGGAATATGTGCCCAAGATTGCTGGATGATTTGATCTGAGTGGATAGGTCTATCTTAATAAATGAATAGACAGACAGATGACCCATGTTTACGTTTGTCTGGCACATGCCATTACTTTAACTTGTTCACTGCCATTGAAGGATACATTTTAAAAGAAGATATAATCATAATTCATACAAATATAAACACATTTCACATATTTTATATAACTCATTAATTTATGAAGGAAATCAGGTACTACAACTGATTCAAAGCAGAACATAAGTCAGATAATAAATGCTGAAATGAACTTACAAATGGGTATGAACTAGCAAAACATGTAAATATCTACGGGGCAATAATTAGTGGTGTTACCCTGGACACAATTTGCATTTTGATGGGTGGAATTATTTGCATTACTGTTGCAGACAGATTTCCAAGATGGCCCTCAAGATTCCCAACCCCTGATGCACAAGCCCTGTGTAATCTCTGCCCTCCCACCCCTCACCTTGAGTGTGGGTAGACTTATGATGGGATAGCCCCTCCCTTGATTAGGTCACACTATATGGTAAAGGTGGTGGGATGGTCACTCCTGTGATTATGATATGTTTTGTAAGACTCCATCCTGGCAGCCTGCAGAGAGATTCTCCTGCTGGTTTTGCAGAAGTAATCTGACATGTTGTAAGGGCCTATGGCTACAGGGCAGCCTGTAGGAACTGCACAACCCCTGGCTGCTGCAAGGAACTAAGGTTTTCTAGCAATTTGCATAAGCTTAGAAAAGAACCCTGAGATCCAGATGAGAATGCAGCCCTAGCAGACCCCTTGATCTCAGCCTTTCACGACCCTGAACAGAGGACCCAACTATGCAGTGCCTGGACTCCTGGTCTATAGAAGCTGAGAGATAACAAACAGCTGTTGTCTTAAGCCAATAGATGTGTGGTAATTTGTAATATAGCAATAGAAAATGAATACAATTATTACTGTTTTTTACAAATTAGCTTTCATCTCTACTGAGTATAGGAGAACTTAGTCATAGGGAAAGAGGGAGCAAATCCAGAGGGCTGAGTGAGCAGGATGCCCACTCAATTTTTGCTGCTGAAGGCAACATTTCCTTACTCTGCATTGACCCAAACTTTCCCTAAACGTTTACATTTGTGATTATTTCACATGTGTTGCTCTGCTTTATTTTTGTTTTAACCTAGTTTTTGGCTCCTAGCCACACACAATAAGAACAATCAAAGTTAGTTTGATTTTAAGAACAGTCTCCAGAGCTTACCTAGGGTTGCAAAGTGAGGTGGGGGAGAGGGGATGGGGGAGGGAGGTTGGGGATTAATTGGGTGGGGGACACAGGATGTAATCACAATTTGTGGTAATGGGCATGTTGCCAGTATTGATCTGGCCATCCCATCTTGGGCACAAGTGGTGATGGTCAGTTTTGTACCCCATGAATATTCATAACCAATAAAAAAATATATAAAAAATAATAAAAAAGAACAGTCCCCAGGGGGATTTCCCCTTTCATCTTAGAGGAAGTGTTATTTTCTTTTCAGACTGATGTTAGACAAGACTTTCAAAGTTCTTCAAGAAAAGTTAATGCTGCCCCTTTTATCTGAGTTGACTGAATTAAAATGCCTTGAAAATACTGAAAATGTTCTGTCTGTATAGGCAGTGATAGAAAGAGGGTACTTGCAAGTCAAAATTTAGAACAAGCATATCTGAAGGAGCCCTTAAAGTTGAAAGAATTAGTTAGGTCAGAGAAACCCACTGCTTATCAGGAATGCTGTCTTGAATGAAACAGACAATTTAGAATTTTTAAACCTAGTGGACTGTAGGTAACTCAAAGTGTGAGGCATGAGGAGTAGGAGTAGCATAGGAGAAAGCCCATCGGCTCCCAGAGAAACTATGAATGCGAGCAGACTGGATGGCCCTGAGCCCAGAGGAGCAGATGGTCTAGGCACAAGTGAGAGATGAGACAGGCAAAGGAGAAGGGGGCAGAGCAAATGTGCAGCTACAGTCAGCTAACTTAGGCATTTCAGTATGATTTTGTGGAACACTCCAGCTCCTGCAGGAGCTGAAAAGTGAGTTATGATAGTAGGAAAGTGTATGTATGTGGAAGATGATCCCTGGTAAAGCCTTAGAATATTAGAGCTCTTATGCACTTCTGGGCCCTATTCCTCATTTTAGAGATAAAAAAAGTGAATCATGACCACATAGGTAGTTAATGTCAAGTCTGGAAACTGAATCCAGTTCTCTTTAGTATTAGTCCAGTGTAATCACGATTCACCTGTATAGTTTGCTTCCAAAAAGAACAACAAACAAAGAAACAAATAAATAAATAAAGCAGTGGGAAGAAAAACTAGTGAAAAAGGAAGAAGGTTACAATTGTTTGAGATACTGGGGTATAAATGAATCATAGAGAAAGAGGGATATTTGAGAAATAAGTAAGAAAGAAGAAGCTATGTTCAGCAATTTCTTGTATAAAAAGTGCCAGAACAAAATAAAACAAAACAAAAAACCACCCCAAACCAAAAAAACCCATCCCAAAACAACAAAAAAACCCCCCAACCCAACAGCCAGAAAATGGTGTGGTTGGATGTGCTGGCTATCACTGCAAAGTGAATTATTACACACTTAGTGGCTTAAAACAATACACTTGCTATTTCACAGTTTCTATAGATCAGGAATCTGGGCAAGAGTCTTTTGCTTCGGAGCCTTTTGCTTTCAGAGTCTTGAGATGTCATTTGGGTCTGTGGTCTTATCTTGAGGTGGGACTGGGGAAGAATCCACTTGTAAGCTCATGTGACAGTTGACAGTATTGTTACTTGCTGGCTGTTGTCCAGATGCCACCTTTCTTTGCCACACGAACCACTCAGTGGAGCAGCTCATGGCAGGGCAGCTTGCTTCATCAAAGCAGCAAGAGAGAGAGTCTGCTAGTAAGATGAAAGTTGCAGTCTTATGCAATGTAATCACAGAAGTAGCATCCTATTATCTTTGCCATAACCTGTTGGTTAGAAGCAAGTCCCAGGTCCTGCCTACACTCAGGAGGAAAGAATTAGCATGGGTATAAATAGCAAGAGGCGGGGATCATTGGGCGCCATTTAGAGTAAACCCATCATATTGGAAAACCTGGGATTCCTCCAAATACACATGAAAATGTATGTAACCTGAAGCCTAACTCTAACCGTAATAATTCCCATTATTAAGAGAAATAATGTCAACACTTAGTTTGCAAAAATAAACAAAAAACTAGACAAAAATAGAACTATAAACAACTTCAGATAGAATATGTGGCAGAGAATATCCAGAGAAGGCAGGAGGAACTGAGCACATGTAGCTCATGAGAAAATATAAATGTCTCTAAGAATGAGCATAATCAATGATAAATAGAGATCCAAGTGTAAGAAGAAACAAGGGAATTGTTGACTTTAAAATGATCAAAAAAAGCCAAAATGCTGCCTCTGAAAGTAAAGCAAGGATAGAGGTAATGTTTAAGTCTCCAATGTAGAAACTAAAGAAGAGTTAGGACAGAAAAAAGAGGCATTTCACAATTTTATGAAAATAGTATCCCTTAAGCAAGCATAGTAGAAATGGGATAATAATTACAGGGAGTGAGAATAAACTACATGACTTTGTATAAAAGTGATAGGAAGAGGAGAGGGGGGGAGAAATGAACAGAAGTGGTGGGATCCAAAGAGAGAGAGGAGTCAGCCCTGGAAGCTCTGCTAAGCTTTCTTTTTCCAGCAAGCTGTCTCTACTGCACTCTGGTTGACTAATACAAAGGCTTGGCATTCTCTTTCAGGAAACTTGCCAGGTCGACACTGGTGCTGGTCCTGGTCTTCGGAGTGCATTACATCGTGTTTGTGTGCCTGCCCCACTCCTTCACTGGGCTCGCTTGGGAGATCCGCATGCACTGTGAGCTCTTCTTCAACTCCTTGCAGGTACAGAGTGCCACCTATTCGTTTGGTTCTTGTAATTTGCCTTTTTTCTCCCTTGCTATACCTTTTTCTCATCCTCTCTCTAGCTTTGATGCCCCTAGGGTGGGGGTGGGGGGAACGGGGAAAGAAAGGGTGATATTCTATGGTGCCTGTGCTTTCTGTCCTGTCACAGCAGGAGCAGTTCCCTTTTTCTCATCCTCTCTCTAGCTTTGATGCCCCTAGGGTGGGGGTGGGGGGAACGGGGAATGAATGGGTGATATTCTATGGTGCCTGTGCTTTCTGTCCTGTCACAGCAGGAGCAGTTTTGGAGCTGTCTGTCACACGAGCAAGCCTGGGTGGCGAGATAGGAAAGCATATTGCTGTAACATATGTAGCACCTGCAGAGCAGGGACATCTGCTTGTGTGTATAGAAAATAAATAAAAGCAAAAGGTGAGGGCAGGGAAGAGGAAGAAAAAAAGGGAAAGGGAGATAAACCAGAGCAAGAGGTTGCTGCCACAGTTTTATCGCATTTGAAAATATTTGAAAATATGGATTACTCTTCACCCTGCTTACTCATCTGCTGCCGCCTCCTGCCTTAAATCTAGTCTGTATACTCGTACAATAGTCTGAAGAATCTTGGAAATGTAAATTTGATCATGTCACTTACTTTCCAAAAATATCCAAAGGCTTTCATTGCACTCAATAAAGTTCAAATGTGGTTTTCTGGCATGCACAGCCCGGCGTGGCATGGAGCCTGGTGACTCACCCTATTTCATTGCGCTCCACGTAGCGCACTAAGTTGGAGCCACACTATTGCTTCCATATTTTATGTTCCTCAAGCTTTTTACCGCCTCAAGGGTTCAGTGCTGTTCCCTTTGCCTGGAATGCTTCCCCCCTAACAGTCACACAGCAGCTTCTCGTTCTTGTCACTCAAAACAGCTTAAATGTCACCTCCTCACAGAGGTCTTTGTTGAGTTCCCATCTAATATATACTTTCCATTGTGATCTTTGACATCACTCATTTTACCTGCATAACCTTTTCATCTTATATTCTTCTCGTGTGGCTGTTTGTTTCTATTTTATGCATGTGTCTTCTCTTGTAAAACCTTGTCTACCTTGTTTACACTGTTTATTTCTGTCATGCTGAGCAGCTCCTAGCACACTGTATAAACTCAATAAATATTTTTGAGTAAATGAAAAGTTTTTTTGAGTTCTTACCATATCATACGCTCTGTCTTCAGCTTCCAGCATTCATAATGTATAAATGTCTTTTACCAAGCAGGGGATGGATGTCATATAACCCTTGCGTGGCAACATAAATGAAACTAATATAATAGAAATCAGTAATTTATGTATCTTGGGATATTTTATTCAGTTACTTGTTTGGTTCAACTGATACCAAGGAAAGATCTCAAACAAATTTAATGTAAATTTACAGATTTGGAAACATTGGGAGCGAATAATTTATACAATTTTCTGAAAGAATCAAAAAAACAGTTTTTCAACTTATACATTTTGGCAAAAGACACTTTAGTGCTGTGAGTTTCAGGAACTGTCAAAGGGCTAACGTTCTTCTTTGTTCTCCAGGGTTTCTTTGTGTCTATCATCTACTGCTACTGCAATGGAGAGGTAGGAACCTTGGGCACCCCGCAGGTCTAGCTCCGAGTAAGCTTGTAAATGGTCATCGCAGTGTGACCTGAATCACTTAGAACTCCCAGAACTTGCAGGACAGAATGGGAAGAAGGGAGGTATTTTAATCACAAATTATTTTAAGAAATCAAGAATTTATGTAAGTAAGCTGAGGTCTTCCTCTTCTAGCACTTTTAAATGTCAACTCAGTTGCAAACTATGATGTTTAAATAACAGCTTGGAATACAAATTGATACTTGGATGGACAGGGAACTTCATATTCCAGGTAATACTGAAACTTGTATTCCATTTCAAGTTCTATAAGAAACTCAAATATAAGATTCCCTGAGACAAATCTATTCAAATATTTTGATATTTTTTAAACTACGAGATGATGATGGGACAATTTCAGTTCATTTAGGAGCTGGCTGAAGAGAAGTAACCACATTGGAACATACATTTCACTTTGTAACTTTTAACACGTCCTGCTGTTGGATGAGTTGCCTCCTTGTTTCTCTCAAATTTTAAACTTGCTGCAAGTCCCAGAAGCATAAGGATACATGTTGATTTGTTGCTGTAGACCCAGTGATGCTTCTGACCACGTTTAGGGTTTGGACATTGTGCCACACTAGTCCAGTCCCTGCAGAAAGAGCTTATATTAAGTAGTAACTCATTAATTTCCTAATTTTCTTCTGTATTGCTTTTACTTGATTTCGCAGGTGGGGTAAGTAGATCAGGTGCTGGTTTTTTGCCAACATGAATGGATAGGAGCTTGTTGTTTCAGGTGACATCAGTTTACCAGGTTTCCATGGCTTCTCATGGAACTTCCAAATCAGCTCCCTTCTGGAAAGTGGCCATAGCAGTAGAATTGAATCTTCAGTAGCAGGAATGGAAACAAGAACTCCACTCTGTTAATGTGTTTGCATGTCCTGTATACCCAGTAGTGGGATTGCTTGATCATATGGGAGTGCCTACTTTTCTATCTATGATCCTTTTCCCCTTGTTTTTCCTCCTTCAGCATTCCTATGCAAATTGTAGTGGGGCAGTTACATTTCAAGTTGAGCACCTTCCACGCCCTTCCTCAGCCTCAGATGGTGTCAAAGACACAGGACATTAAAGTTTTGAAAACAGAGTTTATTGACTAACTACTGACAGTAAGAGAAAGAACCAAGCTCTATTCAGATTTGGGCAGAGGTGATTTGGGCGTTTTAGAGGGAGAATGAAGGAGTGGGGAATGCAGGGGCTCAGCAGAGTCAGAAAAGTATAAGAAGTAGATAGGATTGGTTAGTGTGACTATGATTAGGCCAGCTGTGCCTGCTAGCTGGTAGTTATCCAGGTTAGGGTTCTCTCCTCCCACAGAGACTGAGACACAGAGTTCCTACCCTTCTTGATGATTGCATTTTGAAGGAATGGCTCTAAGGTCCTTAAGAGAGATGTTTCTGAGTTGCAAGAGCTACATATGAATAATCGTGAGCACTTTTTAAATGCTTTAAGAAAGGGAGGTCAGGGAACTATCAGCAAGTGTACAGGCTAGAACAAATAGTAAATTTTCCTGGCAGCGTTGAGCTTTCTCAGGCAAGCACTTTGAGGGGAACTGGGACCATCCTAGGGACATAGCCTTATGCTGCTAGAATCCTTGCTAGAGTTTGGTTAGATCGCTCAGTGCAGAGGTTTGGCCAGAGTTGCCAAGTGCTGAGAGTTCTGCAGTGCTCACTGGCACTATTTATCTCTATCCCAACCCAGAATCCCCCCTTTTCTCTCTCCCATAAGTCAGATATTTCTATTGGTGGCATTTCAGCTTCTATGTAAATACTAACCTTGGACACGTCTCTTTACCTCTCTCTAAGCCTCAGTTTGTTCATTTCCAAAAATAACATCTATCTCCTGGGTTTTTTGAGGTTAAGAGGGAGAATATGTAAAGTCCCTGGCACCCAGAGGGACCTCAATAATATCACTATCATGGAAATCGAGGCAAACAACCTTGTAGCAAGGTCGCAGGGTCTCCTGATTTCTGATACAGGGCGTGTTTCTCGGGGCTTAGGTTCAGGCTGAGGTGAAGAAGATGTGGAGTCGCTGTGACCTATCCATGGACTGGAAAAGGACGCCGCCCTGTGGCAGCCGCAGGTACGGTTCGGTGCTCACCACCGTGACGCACAGCACCAGCAGCCAGTCGCAGGTGACCGCCAGCACGCGCACCGTGCTCCTCTCGGGCACAGCGGCCAAGACTGCCCGAAGACAGCACGACAGCCACGTGACTTTACCCGGCTATGTCCGGAGTAACTCGGAGCAGGACTGTCTGCCACACTCAATCCACGAGGAGACCAAGGAGGGTAACGGGAGGCAGAGAGATGACATTACGATGGAGGACTCTTCCAGGCCATCGGCATTTAACCCAGACACTGAAGGGCGCGACGGAGACACTGAGGATGTTCTCTGAGTCACCATTTGTGGGTCTGGTTGTGTGAGAGAAGTTTGGCTGGCATTCCTCGGCTTGAACACGGAGGCTGAAATGATCAGGGCTCAAGTGTTACTTAAAAGTTTTCAGGCTCAATGAATTGGCTCCTCCAGCTCTGAAGACACAGAAGGGGAAGTGTAAATGGAGTAGTTTATTATCTTATATTGGCATCAAATTGTCTTCTAAATTGCTGTATGGTACTTGCTCTGTGATTGTTCATTTTTTTCCCTGCTACTTTTGGGTAGAAGTAATTTCAAATACGTGGCTCTAACTTTCTCTCATAAATATCACCCTGAATATGACAGAGATCATTTAGTATGTGTCATTTTCCTTTTAGGATATTCGTGCTCTATTTTTCTCTTTCTCATTTTAATGTACTTCTATCAATGCATTTATTTTGACTGTGCATAGGAGCAGTTAGGGTCTGAAAAATGTATGGTAAAAGATAAAAAATTTAAAAACAAGTATGCACTGGAACATTGATGGGCTGGACATTGATAAAATAATGAATTTATGACAATTAAGCTGGTTTCTTTCTAGGAACAAGGAAAATTACTCTAAAAAGTAATATTTCATATATTCCTTTTTTTGAATGTCCCCCTTGTGACCAGCCAAACCTCAGGTCTCATGCCTCCTTCTTTCTAAACCATGACATGTTGACACGTTTTCTTAGTGAGCTTATGCTTGCAAACTGATTTTGTTTGTAATAATTTATGTTGATAGTAAATCATACTGTATCTATATCTTTTTCTTCTTTGTTCTGTTTCTGTATTGCATATGGCATGTGGAATAATTAAAAGTTTGTTTAAAAAATACATTTTGGGTGACTTTTTTTTATTTAAAAAAATTTTGGGGGGCCGAGCCCGTGGCGCACTTGGGAGAGTGCGGCACTGGGAGTGCAGCAGCACTTCCGCTGCAGGTTCGGATCCTATATAGGGATGACCAGTGCACTCACAGCGCTCACTGGCTGAGCACAGTGNACATTTTGGGTGACTTTTTTTTATTTAAAAAAATTTTGGGGGGCCGAGCCCGTGGCGCACTTGGGAGAGTGCGGCACTGGGAGTGCAGCAGCACTTCCGCTGCAGGTTCGGATCCTATATAGGGATGACCAGTGCACTCACAGCGCTCACTGGCTGAGCACAGTGCAGCCGGTCTCAAAAAGGACAAAAAAAAAAAAATTTTTGTGTGTGTCTTCTTCCCCCCTCTTTGTTTTGCGTGATTTGCTTTACTGTTTTGCATGATTTTTTAAAATTTCTTTTCAGTATCTCACTTTATTTTTGAGAACCAACAAAACTTCCCTTCTCCATATCTACAAAATTCAGCACTTAGCTTCTGCACTTTACTGAACTTGAAATTTCAGAATGTTGCAGTTGTGAAAATATTTATTGAATGCATGTCATTTTATCAGGCATCCTGCTAGATTTTTACAAGCATTAACTTGTTTAATCCTGCATACAAACTTATGGAGTAAGTTGCATCATCATCTGCCTTTGCAGAGATGACTCACAGAGGTGGGGTAATTTGCCCAAAGTTGCACAGCTAGTCACCAACTGAGCGTGGTTTTAGACACAGATCTATTAACATGTTCCTAACCATTATGCTATATTGTCACCAATATTTACATATCCCGTTAACCAGTCAAAAATTTAATGAGTTTCTTCTGGATAGAGTGTTTTAGGAACTTGTATTGTGATACATTTTAGCCTCTGACCCTTCTGAAGTTTCCACTCTAGTGCAGATGACATACATATAGGAAATAAAGAATATCGCAGAGCAATATGTTTCTGAATAAAATGACACAGATCAAGCTGATCTATCTCAATTTGCTAAATGATTTTACTGATATCAAATAGTGTCATGATGAATAAGGTACTCTGATATCTACATACCCTCTTGAAAAATATTATATTTCTCTTCCATGCTTTTTCTTTCTTTCCTCTTCTGTGCCATAGCACAGGCCATTTCCTTCCCTTCCTGTTTACAAAGATGCCATTGTGCATATTTAGTTCATGTGATTCAAATCTATATTGTCATATCCCTAGGCTGCTTCCCTGTTAGGAGAGAACCATCATGAGTTGAGTCAGAGATTAAAATTCAGTTCTTTTGCTAACTTTCTGCGAGGCTTTATAAAACCCATACAAACTTATGGAGTAAGTTGCATCATCATCTGCCTTTGCAGAGATGACTCACAGAGGTGGGGTAATTTGCCCAAAGTTGCACAGCTAGTCACCAACTGAGCGTGGTTTTAGACACAGATCTATTAACATGTTCTTAACCATTATGCTATATTGTCACCAATATTTATATATCCCGTTAACCAGTCAAAAATTTAATGAGTTTCTTCTGGATAGAGTGTTTTAGGAACTTGTATTGTGATACATTTTAGCCTCTGATCCTTCTGAAGTTTCCACTCTAGTGCAGATGACATACATATAGGAAATAAAGAATATCGCAGAGCAATATGTTTCTGAATAAAATGACACAGATCAAGCTGATCTATCTCAATTTGCTAAATGATTTTACTGATATCAAATAGTGTCATGATGAATAAGGTACTCTGATATCTACATACCCTCTTGAAAAATATTATATTTCTCTTCCATGCTTTTTCTTTCTTTCCTCTTCTGTGCCATAGCACAGGCCATTTCCTTCCCTTCCTGTTTACAAAGATGCCATTGTGCATATTTAGTTCATGTGATTCAAATCTATATTGTCATATCCCTAGGCTGCTTCCCTGTTAGGAGAGAACCATCATGAGTTGAGTCAGAGATTAAAATTCAGTTCTTTTGCTAACTTTCTGCAAGGCTTTATAAAACCACTTAACTTCCTTTATAGTTAATTTCTCCTTCTTAAAATGAAGACAATATCTGTCTACCTTAGAGAGATATTCTGATGTTAAGAGAAATCACACGTTGAAAGCACTTTGTAATATAAAAAATCCATACAAATACTTGGTTTAGATTTTTGTTATTGTTTTAAGTTAAATCTCATTTTGCCCCATTATGTTATAAAAGGTCTCATTGGTCATTGCAGTACAATAAGAAGTTGTTAGAAGAGATCTATTTTGATAATATAGAAAATATTGAGCTGTTACTTTCTAATCTAATCCCAAATTCTAAGGCTAGACCACTTCTTCTTTACATTAACAAATATGAATGACACCCTCAGAGTTACCACAATTTTTCTTAACGTTTAGTTGTTCATTAATTCAACTAACATTTATGTGGAGCATATTATGGGACAGATACTATGCTATGTGCTTGGCCACAAAAAAGCACAAGGCATAATCTATTCCCTCTAGGAATGAATAAATCATTTGCTAAGGCTCTTAATATCATCTGTGTACACACGCTTTTTCTTCTACTTTTTGATAATGTTTTCACTTAATTAGACAGCTAGGACAATAAGTTATACCAGTCTACTGATTTTATCAAGTAAAATATTGGGCAGTTACTGAGGATTTGCTAATCTAGATCCAAAGATGCAAACTATTGGTTCATGAGCTAAATTTGGTCCACAGCTATGTTTTATTTGCTCTGCCAAGGTATTTGGAAACATATTGTTTAGTTGCCAACATTTAAAATTTGAGTGATTTACATAAAATCATATTTTCTGAATTATGAAAACACTAGTGGATCTCATAAGACGACAATCAGCTGGAACTGATTGGTGGCTGGCCTCTTCAGACAGGGCAAATATTCAAGTTTGCCCAGTGCCCACCTGGTCCTGTTCATTTATTGCTGTTACCTGCCTGGACTTTGGGCTTGTTTGTGTTGCTTAATCTAGATGATGCACTTACATAGAACTAAGCAGTGGTTTTCTAAAATATTCTTGAGAAGTGATATCCTATATAGTTTAAAGTTTTTGCTAATGAAATCAAGCAACCAGATATCTTTAGGTGTAATGGTATTTAATTGAAGCTTGCAACATCAACAATTACTCTGTTGAAATGAGTCTATTAGGAGGAAAGCCCATGACAATTTTTGTATTCACAGTTCAAATCTGAACCACACTATTCAAAGCTTCACTTTCTAACTTATCACATCAAGGTACATATTGCTAATGCGACACCTGCTTTTCTCTTTGGAAATACAGCAAGTTCTATATGCAAGAGGTTTGAATGGTATGAGAGATTACAGGAGTTTGTGAAGATAGCCTTATATGACTAATGACATGGATATTAAATTTTGATATCATATTTCTCCTGTGGCCAAAAGAAAGCCTGGCATCAAAGATAACCAGTTTTCGGGGCCGGCCCGGTGGCGCACTGGATAGGTGCGCCACTTGGGAAGCGCGGCGGCGCTCCCG